TTGTCAATGTTAAAGCGATCATAAGATTTTATCACTCGTGTAACATCTATAAATTCACCAAATTTGCTGTTTACTGCTCGTAAACACAGAAGCTAAGTTAATGCAAATACATTCAAATGTCAGAATAGAGCCGAGATGGTTGCGATTATTGACTTATATTGGAAGAATGATTGTGAGCGATCTATGTCTAATGTGCAAATAAATATCCTTGATGAAGAATCAATGTGAAGTAAGGGTTGATTGAATTGTAGAGTTATGAACCCGTACCAGATGAATTAGATGAAGAGTTCATATTACCGGATGAAGTAGAGCCGATCTTCTCGGAGGTATCGTTGTATACCGAGAATACGGGCAATGGTATAGCACTGATGTGGGCACCGCGACCATTCAATATGCGTTCAGGTCGAACGAGACGTGCGGTTGATGTGCCGTTAGTGAAGACGTGGTATCGAGAGCATTGTCCGTCTGGTTCGTTTCTTTTTTAAGTTTATTTTGGTACGTTTTTTTTGTTATTGAATATATTCGTGTGGAAATCATCGAATCTGGATTAGTGGATGTTAAATTCTCAGATATTGGAATTTCATCGTTTAGTTGTTGATGACCGGAATAAATGTTTTAGGTATGCCAGTAAAGGTTCGCGTATCGTATCAAAAACTTTTGAAAGTATTCGTGCTGAATGCATTGCGTCATCGTCCACCGAAGCCGCAGAAGCGAAGGTTCATCTTAATTCGTTGTATAGTCAATGTGACACCACATGGCTTTGAATATTAAATGATATTTTTTAAAGATATCAATTGTGATGAAATGTTTCTCGTTTTATCATTGAAAATGTATCGCAGCATTATAAACCTTCCAAATTTGTACGTCTTTGTGCAATTTTCTTTTTGAATCATTCTCTTATATTTTAATATGAAATGAACTTCAGATATCTATTCCGTTCATTCAAATCAACGAAATTCTTCCAATCCACAACACTTGATTGGGTTGAAGTCGGACTTCAAGTGTTGCGTCAGGGTTACAATATGTTGAACTTGTTGATTCATCGAAAGAATTTGAACTATCTCCATCTCGATTACAATTTCAACTTGAAGGTTCGTCTATTTGGAAATCACTTTTTCGTACACTTGTTCATGTCATATTTAGATACCTTCATCACGTTTTGAGATAAATGATTTTGAATCTTCTGGTGAAATTCATGAGGTGTTAATTAAAATTTGATTGTTTGTTTTGATATAAACAGATATTCAGACGAGTTTGTTTGAGCCGGTAGTCGAAATAAATATGATAATGATACCAATTCAGCCAGTGAAAA